CAGCCCCCAGCGCGCGTCTCACCACGCCCTCGCCCTGCAGGCGCGCGGCTGCCGTGGCCGCTGAGGCTGGGGCCCGCGGCTCCCTTGTCCTTGGCCGCACCGGCTGCAGGCTCGGGGGCGCTGCCCGGCGCGGTCGGCCCGGGCCCGCAGCGGCGCACGCGGCGCCACCGTACCATCTTCAGCGAGGAGCAGCTGCAGGCGCTCGAGGCGCTCTTCGTGCAGAACCAGTACCCCGACGTGGGCACACGCGAGCGCCTGGCCGGTCGCATCCGCCTGCGCGAGGAGCGCGTGGAGGTGGGTGCGCGCCCGCAGCGGCCGGACCGCGATGGGGCAGGGGCACGGGCGGGGAGGAAGGGAAGGGAAGGGAAGGCTCGTTTTCATCTCTTCATTTTTAAATTCCACCCCCGTTTTATCCTGACGATGAAAGAAGCGCGCGTTCACGTCCAGAATTTGGGAAGTTGAGAAAAGCACAAAACTGAAGAAGGGGCGTCCTGGCCGCCCCCGGGCGGAGGCAGCGGCGGGGTGGGCAGCCCCCGTCCGCGCACACCCCTGCAGTGAAGCCCCCTCCCGGTCCACCTATGGGCTACTGGGGAGTCCGGTGCGGCGCGGAGCCGGGGGCTGGGCCTGAGCGGTCCCTCCCCCTGCTCAGGTCTGGTTCAAGAACCGCCGGGCCAAGTGGCGACACCAGAAGCGCGCGTCAGCGTCTGCGAGGCTCCTGCCTGGAACGAAGAAGCCCCCCAAGGGCAGCTGTTGATGGCTGTGGGAACTACTCCTGGTGCTGGCCGTGATCTGTGGGATCTGTGGAGCCTGCACGGGAGAGGACAGACCTACCCCAAACAGAGCTAGGAGAGGACCCCAGCCTCTCCCGCCAATCTCCACAGCTCCCTGCCTCCCGGAGGGGTGTGTGTGCGCGCGCGCGCCCCTGTGCCAACACTTCCCTGAAAGAAAGGGACACAAAAAACCCGAGTGCCCTCCTCTCCTCCAGGCAATGGGACTGGAGGGCCATGGAGATTCCCTTGGGTGGACTGGTGATAGAGCAGGTCAGCTCCCCAACCCCACCGTCACCCTGAGAGGGACTAACTCCATGCCAGGTCAGGAACCACTCTCCCACCCCCCATCAATGGGGAACCTAGAGTCCTCCTCCATCCCCATCCCAGGGAAGGCAGGGCCTCTCTCCTCCCCTCCCCTCTGGATGTGGGCCCCACATGACTTGGCCTGCTGTCCTTCCAGGGTGGGTGGGGTCTGTGCAATCCTGGAGTTGCTGCCATCTCCAAGGTCCTGCGATGGGCCTTGGTGTTTGGACCTGTGGAATAAGTTGGACGAGGTAATCTCCAGGAGCCCCATCCCAGCCCTGTAATCTTTCTCGTGCTGATACTGAGAAATAAACATGCAACTACAGACAACACAAAAGGTGTCCAGAGTCCCAAGTCCATCGTGGTCCCCTCCCACGGCCAGCAGAGTGCTGCCCCTCATCTTTCCTTCCCAGGGAGTTGGGGGGAAGGGCAACTTGTCTTTGAGAATGAAACCCAGTGAGTCCTTAGTCCCTGTGCCAGGGCTCCCCCTACCCCCTGGGCAGAGTAGACTGCCCCACACATTGTGGCCTGGGACCCTGGGGGCCTGCCTTGGCCTAGAGGCACCACCTGCCTCATGGGTGAGGGTCCTTGGTTGACTTCTCCCCCTGGGGATTTCTGTGCGGTGGGGGCTGCCTCATAGCAGTCAGTCTCTGCCATCCTAGGGTGGGGCAAGAACAAATTGGATTGGGGAGCCCCTGCACCCATTGCCTTGGAAAACTGCCTGCCCTCCCTTCCGTCATCTTTGCTCCAGAGCAAAGGACAACACAGAAACCAGGCTCTGATTCCCCATATGGGCCCTACCATGGGTCCAACATGCTGCATCCCACTCAGCCAGCTTGAGCACCTTGCCCTGTCTCCTTACAGGTCCTGTGCCCCAGGGTGCCCATAAGAGACACAGTCCATCCACAAAAGCCATACTAGGGAAGCCAGGGCTGCAGCTCCCAGCACTCTCTGAGGCTGGCCAACTTGGATAACACTGAGTAGGCCTGGTGTCCCCCAGCACAGCTGCCCTAGCACTGCCAGGGCCTCCACTTCCCAGGGTACACACTTCTGCCTGTTACATGGCTCTCCCTGAATCTTGGCCTTGCCCTTGAAGACTGAACTGCCTATTAAAACGGTAAAAATGACGGTGTCCTGGTCAAGTCCCCTGTGGCCTGGGACACCCCTATCTCACTGAGTTCCAGGCCCCTCACCTTCTGTGGCTGAATGGCCATCTGCCATGTGTAGAGCAGCCGCAATCAGAGGTGGCCTGAGCTCCACCTTTGCAGGCCCCTCTCCTGACCTTCCTCTTGGAGCTCTGGCCACCCTTTGGCAGGCTGCTACCCGTTAGTGCCAATAAGACAGGCATCCTTGGGCTAAGGCTCTCCCTTTTCATCCACTCTTAGGCTCCCATTCCCATCTCTCTGCCACACTTATACCTCCAGCCCAGCCCTCTCCCCTAAGCTAGAGATTTCTCCCCAACTGTCCCCTGACTGCTCCACCTGGAAGGCCACAAGCCCCTAAAGTCATGTTATCCACGGAGAGCTCCTCCCTGTGTGTGAGCCAGCCAGCCAGCCAGCCAGCCGTCACCTCCCCCACTTTTTCCAGGCCAATATCAAGCCAATTTTGCCTCTAAATCACGTCAATTAACCCCAGAAGTTGTCTTCTCTCCAGCTTCAAACTGCACCAACCTGATGTAAACCATCAACTCTCACTTTGATCATTATAGCTGTTTCCAGTCCGGTCTTACCCACCGGCACCCACTCTGGCTCCTCTTTCATTCAAAACGAAGACAAAACTCCTCACTATAACCCAGGAGCCCCTGTGCAGCCTGGCCCTGCCCTTGACATCATCTCGAACCTCACCATGCTCTGTGTGTATCAGAAGGTCTTTGGAATTTGCCTGGCTCTCTCCTGCCACTGGACCTTTGCACACAGTCCTCCCTCTGACCAGCGTCTGTTTTTTCGTCTTTTGGATCTGTGATGGCATTCTGCCTGGGGCAACATCCCCTGACTTTCCCTACTAGGTTCAAACTCTTGCACTGACACAGCTGCAATTTTACACCTGTTTGTGAGCCCATCTAACTATTGTCTCTGCCTTCCCCATGGGATTGTCACAAGGGGAGAACCACCACCATGGCATCCCCAGGGAATGAAGGGATGCTTGCATGTTGAAAAGCAAAAGTGTACTAAATTGTTATGAGACAGAACTTACATGTTTGACATAATTCAAAACTTCCTTTTGGGGAGAAATTCCTGAAAAATGTTAGACAGTTTTCTGGTCCACTTCATTGAGAATCAACCCTCTTCTGGGAAGCCCACTCTGGCTAGCATTCAGGAGGCCAATAATGTTCAACCAGACATTTCTTTATTGAACTGCCATCTTGCTCTTTTGTTTTTTAACCCTTTTCTTAGATAACTTAAAAAAAAATATGGGTTTTTCTTCCGTAATGTTTGAAACGCGCATATAAGCAAATTTTCTAGAGTTTAGAAAAATAATACCGACGATACACATAGCTTATTTGAGAGAAATTGGAATCCCAAGACTTCGGACTCCTCAACGCTGGAATTTCTATTAACGCGATCGACACGCCCCATAGCCTCTACCACAGCGCCCCCTCGTGTCCGCGACCCAGACCTGCATGAATAGCGAGGGGACTAGCATTCTTAGGACGTCATGACGAAGCGCGACTTGTGACGCTTTTCTATTGGCCAATTGTTGGAGGCGCCTGCGCAAAAAGTACAGTCCCACCCACACCAAACCCTGCGACGTTCCTGCGCCGCCGGAGCGGCCCTGGGATGGTGATGGAGACGCAGGACTCTTCCGCTTCGGACCGCTTGCTCCCCGTCGGGTCCGGGCCCCGTAGGAAGCGCGCGACTCGGGAGGCTGGGGCTGCAACGAAAAAGCAGCGGGTCCTGGATGAAGAAGAGTATATCGAGGTATGATCTCGGTGTGGACGCCGGCGACGTTCTGGTCCCTCCTCGCCTCGCACTCCACTCAGGTCCCCTCTCTTGGCTTCCCTTTCCCATCATGGGAGTGCAGCAGCCCCAGTCCCTGTCCTGGGGGTGTGGATGTCCCAAGAGCCGAGTAATCCGTGCGACGGAGGTGTCCTCGGTGCGGAAGGTTTTGGGGAGTCGTAGGGGGATGGGGGGGGGCTCTGTCTGTGATGGGGGTCAGGGAAGTAAGGTTTTCTGTTAAAGTGTGGGTAAGAGTCTGACAGACTGAAAAGAGGTTGGCAACGAGGGCTGTTAAGGAGCGGTAGCAGCAAGTGTGAAAGTTGGGGGTCCTGGAAAGAGGGCAGCTTGAGTGAGTGGGTCTCTGTGCCCCTGGAAGCAGCTTTTGGTCCTACTGCAAGCGTGCAGGGGGAGGAGCTAGCACAGGGGTTTGAGTGTCAGTCTGGTTTTAGACTGCTTAAATTTAAGATGCCTTTATGATATACAGGTGATTTGACAGACAGCTACATGCACAGATTTGCAGCTCAGGAGCAATGTCTGGTCAGAGGTACAGATTTGGGAATCTCAATTGGTGGTGGTGGTGGTGACTGGCTAAAGTCGCCGAGGAAATGGGTTTAGGTTGGAAATAGAAAATTACAGGTGGAATGAAGGTGGCAAAACCCATATTGGTCTGGCTGGTATGAGAGTAGAGTCAGGAGAGGAGAATGAGAATGACTGGTTGGTTAGTGAAGGAGAGAGAGGTTTCTTGGATATTAGAGGAGCATTTAGTAAGGTTAGAGGTTGCAGCATGGCCACCACGTGGAGTGTTGAACCTCGCTGAAAAGTTCCTCCAAGTTCCCTCAAGCAAGCCCCAGTTATTGGGGAAGGCAGGAGATGAAGGAGGTTCTGTAAGGGCCTTAGTATATGTGGTGGTGGGCTGTAAGGCAGCTCTAACTTTTGTTCTGATCTCTCCTACTAGGGCCTCCAGGCAGTTATCCAGAGGGATTTCTTTCCTGATGTGGAGAAGCTGCAGGCACAGAAGGAGTACCTGGAGGCAGAGGAGAATGGAGACTTGGAAAGGATGCGCCAGATTGCCATCAAATTTGGCTCTGCCCTGGGCAAGATGTCCCGAGAGCCCCCACCTCCCTGTAAGAGGCCCCATGGGTGGCAGAGAGGGAAACGCCTGTTGAACTGTTGCCTCAAGCTCACTTTACTGTTTACCCTCTTTTTTACCCCCAGATGTGACTCCAGCCACGTTTGAAACCCCTGAAGTACACACAGGCAATGGAGTTGTGGGCAGCAAACCCAGGCCCCGAGGCCGAGGTGTGGAGGATGGTGAGTGAGAACTCCCTCTTTGTCACGCCATTGGTTGGAATTGACTGGGAGTCTTATCCTGTGAGGCCCCAAGGGGGTGGTCCAGCAGGCTATAGGTCACATCTTGTCCCTGAGGGGTTTCCCTGCCTAAACAGCAACTGGTCTAGGAGGCCAAAGATCTGGGCCTGGCACCCAAGTGTGGTTGGCCCCTTGGAATGGGAATCTCACCACCTGTCTTGCTGGCCTGCTGGCTGTGTGCCAGTCCTTGCCCTGTGGACTTCAGGGGCCTTGTAAGGCCTCTTGACGATGTCTCAGAACCTCTGCCTTCATTTCTTCCTTTTTGGTCACTTTTCCTAGATAACAGCACAGTTAGTTTCTTTTTTCTGTCAGGTTTCTGCTCAGGTGTTGCTCATTCAGGGAAATCTTTCCTGAACGCCTAGGGTAAGGTACTCTCTGACTTCTGGCCTGGCTTTGTTGTTCTGACATAGCATTTAATAACAAGCATTTCTGTTTGTTTATCATCTCCCTAATTAGCATCCTTCCTCATGAGCAGAGACTTTGTCTTGCTCTCATCTGTCTGCTCTGCATCTGGAATGGCACTTGGGGTGCTGTTGACACACATACACCTTTGACAAACATGTAGAACAGATGAATTAGCTGTTGTCTTCAATATGTTCACTGGGGTGTGCGACACTCAAGCATATATGGTAATATCCAGACTTCATGAGGATACCTCAAGAGCATCTTGAGTCCTGTTGCATATAAATATACTGCATGCTGTGGTCAATCAGATTGTCAGTGGACAAGATAGATGAGATATTGTTCTTTACGGGGTTCTAGTCTACAGTAGGCTATACTGGCACAGATGTGCTGTATGTTCACACAACATGATATTGTCTGCTTTATAATCCATTTGTCTCTACCATTAACACAATTCTCATTGTCCTTAGGGCTTAATTTTTTATTTAAATGTGGCTTGTGAATGACAGGTCAATTTGCAGGGTTTTTTTTTTTTTTTATTGTTGGGGAATCTTTGAGGGTACAATGAGCCAGGTTGCAGGTTCTTTTTATGCCTTCCCACCTTATGTGTCAGTAGATACAGGAATTATTTTCATGATCTAACTGGTGGGTACTATTGTCATTCACATTTATGGGCCAGGAAACTGAGACTCAGAAAGGCAGTAGCTTCTGTAGGTCTCAGAGATGATTTGTAGCAGAATGGGGTTTGAGTCCTCACCTTCCTGACCCCAGGTCCTCAACTCGTAGGCACTGTACTTTGTGTATAGTCTGGAACATAGCAGGTGGTTGGGCAAAATTGTCACTAGAATGGAAGAAAAAGCTGTCCTCCAGGTGTCCCCACTGAGGTTCGCACCACTGCACATAGCAAAGGGCCCCACCTCAGCAAGGGTACACTTCCACGGTGGTACGGTGTGGTTGGGGTAAAGCCCCATCCAGAGGACTGAGTCATACGGGGTCCCTGGCATCAGGGCTAGCTGG